AGTGGGCCCCCAGCTGGTGGTGCTCTCTTGGAAGATGCTGACCTAGCTGACAGGAGTGCCTCCTTAGGTCTCGGAGGCTACCCTTGAAGGTGACATCTGGTTCTGGTTCTGTCCATACTGGTTCCTCATCCGTCAGGATGTAAGGAGCTCCTGCCATTACCAGCTTGGTCCCGCCTTCCCTGCTGCGATGTTCTAAAACTGAACCAAAAGGAATCCTTCTGCCCGTACGCGTTCCTTCTGCCAGGTGTTTTGCCATAGCTATGAGAGAAGTAATTATACAGATTATATATAAAAAAAAAAATATATATATATATATATATTTTTTTTTTCTTCATATCATGTCATTGTTTCCCCAGTGTTGGAGGCCTTCATCTCTGTGGTTCTGTTGGTCTGAAATATTTTCATTTATTCTGTTCAGTTTTGGGTTTGGGTTTTTTTTGGGGGGGTATTTTTGTTTTTGGCTTTTTGAGACAGAGTTTCTCTGTGTAGCCTTGGCTGTCCTGGAACTAACTCTGTAGACCAGGCTGGCCTTGAACTCAGAGACCCACCTGCCTCTGCCTCCTGAGTACTGGGATTTAAAGCCTGGGCTACCACTGCCAAGCAATTAATTAATAATATTTTTATTAATTAATTATGCATAGTCTTCTGCCTGCACGTACACCTGCAGGCCAGAAGAGGGCACCAGATCCCACTATAGATGGTTGTGAGCCACCATGTGGTTGCTGGAAATTGAACTCAAGACCTCTGGAAGAGCAGCCAGTGCTCTTAACCTCTGAGCCATCTCTCCAGCCCTGACTGATTGATTTCTAACAGCTTAGTGCACACGCTGCTTTTGCAGAGCACCTAGGTTTAGTTCCATCACCCAGCTTTGGTGGTTCGAAATCACCTGCAATTCCAGCTCCAGCAGAATTGACCTCTTCTGACCTCTGTGGATGTGCATACAGACAACTGGCAAACACACAGACAGATAAAAACAAATCCTTTAAAAATTCAACTCGAGCCGAGCGGTGGTGGCATATGCTTTTGATCTCAGCACTCAGTAGGCAAGGGGTAGGTGTATCTCTGTGAGTTCAAGTCCAGCATGGTCTACTAAGTGAGTCCAACAAACAAATCAACTCAATGTTATATTGTATTTTAACACCATCTTACTATATTGGCACAGCCATATCTAATGGGAACAGAAAAAGTCATAAAGCCAGCACAGCTGCTTGACAAAGCTCCAGCAAAGCTGAGCCTGGTGGCACAATCGCTGTGGTGCAGTCTCCCACTCTTTTGGCCTCAATCTCTACTTTGGGGGTCTTTTATTATTTGTACAACTTGGGGATATTGTATTGATGGAAATTTTCTTTTTTGTTTTGGTTTGGTTTGGGTTTGTTTGTTTGTTTGTTTGTTTTCTTTTCTTTTCTTGGTTTTTTGAGACAGGGTTTCTCTGTCTAGCCTTGGCTGTCCTGGACTTGCTTTGTAGACCAGGCTGGCCTTGAACTCACAGAGACCTGCCTGCCTCTGTCTCCCGAGTGCTGGGATTATAGGTGTGTGCCACTGTACCCAGCTGATGGAAATCTTTTTATGAATCATTTACACCATGCTTCTAAGCTTCCCCAGGAATGTCCTGACCATCCTACTCCTCCCAATTTTAGGGAGATATCCTTATGTGGGCCTACTTGAATGTCTTCGTTAATGCCCTTGAGGTTGTGACTCACATAAAGGTTCCAGAGACCTCCTTATGAGGCTCTGACTCAAAGATACTTTTGGCACGTCCGCCCCCGCACTTACTCAGGAACAGGACAATCAGAACAAAGTAAACTTGAAAAGGTAAACACTATGAAGACCTCCCTTTCTTAGAAAAAGTGACCACATACAGGACCACTGTGATGTCATATGACCAAGGGACAAAAAAATACCAACATTAGACATACAAAAAAATTATACAAATATATAAAATATAAACATCACATTAATATAGAAATTAAGGGTGTTGAAAGGGATTGGGGTGGAGACAGAAGGAAAAAGCATAAGAAACGCAATCAGGGAGGGTGAGATCAAGATGGCAGCTAATGGGACATAGATAAGTATCTGCCCAGATAGAGTGCTTTAATAGTGTATAATAATATATATTATAAACAATATAAAATAAGTATAATAATAATATATATTATATAATCAATATAATATATAAAATATGTATTATGTAACATATAATATAGTGCTTATTAATAAATATGAAAAGTCTCCGCATCATCACTTGGAGCTATAACAGGCATAGAAAAGCCCCTTACTATTCATTTTACACACAAGGAACTGTACTAAAGGATCGCAGCATTAGGGAGGTCGAGAGGCATCGGTCTAGACTGTACTTCAGTCAGGTGGAGGTTATCTCCCTCACCCTGTTCATTGACATTGCTCTTCTCTCAAGGGCAAAGTCCTCAGGATGCTGTCCTACAAGGCCAGACCAGCTGGAGCCAGGCTCTGTTGGTAAGGTGTGTCAGGGCGTGTGCCCACCAGCGTGTGGTGTGCTTGTGGGAATTGGACCAAACTTCCATCCCAGCTGTCTCAAAAGACACAGATTTCTCTTCAGCTTCATTTTGCCGAACTGCCCTTGTTTTAGCTCCTGGTGCCTGGGTGGAGGGAGGGTCTTGCTAGATAGTCCAGCTGGCCTCAAACTCACTATGCAGTTTGAGGTTAGCCACAAGCTCGTGGTGATCCACCTGCCTCAGCTGCTGGGATTACAGGCACATGCCACCACACCCAGCTTATCCCTGGGATTTTACAAGTTGTGCCACTGCTGGCAGGGGAGAGTCTTGACCCAGTAGGAACTCTCCTGCAGGGCCCCTGACCCCTAAAACCCAAGTCTCGCTTCTGTCCTGTGCTCTGACAGCCCCATACGTCTCTGTAGGTGCAGGCTTGACAAGGTGCAATGTGGTCTTCCTGCAAGACTGTCAAGCTGTCTTAGACAGAGAAAGACCCTGTGCGTTGGTGGTGGTTCGGACCAAAATGGCAGGTGGCACAGTGGTAACAGAGCGGGAGTGGCCTTAGGAACAGAGCTTGTGGCTCAGAACTGGACTCTACAGGTACCAGCAAAGGACGGGATTTAGAAAGGCCACGTAAACCTCACTGGCTCCGACAACTCCCGCTTCTCAAACGTCAGGGACCATGAGCTTCTGCAGACAGACAATGGCAGCATTCCCGTCTTGTGGGGGTGGGGGTGGGGGTTGCCTGTCTAATAAGTTCCCAGGTCCCCATGCTGCTGGCTTCATTCACAAGGCCCCTCTACAAGGTAATAAAGCACTAACAGCTGTTGGGGAGAGGACGCTCTGGCCAGCCACGTGGCCTGCAGGTCTTCAGAGCGATCCAGCACACAGCCCCGTGGGCTATCACGCATGCTCTTCCGTGATGCAGTCGTCTTTGAGTTGCCCGTGCTTCCCTATCTAACCACAAGCAGTTCCTTGATTCATGAGCTGGGGTCAGGCCATTTCTCTGGTCTGTTCTGGGTACCCCATCCAGGGGTTTGTACACATCTCCCCGTTAGAGTCACACAAAACCTTCATGGCCTTTTTCTCAGGGAAACGTGTCCGTTTTCCGAACAGCCTCATCTTCCTAGAGGAGTTCAGTCTACAGCTGGAGCCTAATATTTGTTTGGAAAGCTGAAAGTCTGAAGTGCAGTGTGGTGGTGAAGGGACAGCAGTGCAGCCAACACACACCTAGGAGATGCTAGATGCAGAGAGAATATCTTGTGTATTATATGGATGCAACACCTGTCAACAAAGGAAAACAAACAAACAAACAAACAAACAAACCCAAACCTATGGCCTATAGGAAAGGGTAGACTAGAAGGTGGGACATCCAGCAGGCAGAAAGGATTCTTGTATAGAGCCAGATGTGGGGGATTTACTGAGGAAGACATGAGGAGGACAGGTGTACAGAACCTGAGCAGAGGTAACCAGCCACATGGAAGAATGTCAATTAGTATAAATATGTTGTTTTAAGTTATGAGCAAGGCAGGGAAGAGCCTAGCTATATGGCCTAGGTATCTGCAAATATATTTTGAATCTCGTGAGTCATTATTCTGGGAGCTTAAGCCCAGGAGGAGAGACCACCACAACAGCTGGATCTATTGTTAGTTCACAAATCTTGGTGCATGAGCCCACTCCTAGGTTGCTTAGGCACCATTGATGTCATCATTGGTCACCCAGGGGCCTGGAATAAAAGGACCCCTGCCTCTTCTCTCTCTCTCTTTTGCTCTCCTCTCTTGCTCTCTCTGCTTTTGTTTCTCCGTTGGGGCACCCCGTCCCCACTCCCCCATCTGTTCTTTGTCCCACCCCCCATCTGTTCTCTGTCTCTCTGCCCTCATGGCTCACTCAAGCCCTAACTTTCTTCTGCTTCCCTTCCCCTGAATAAATTCTCTCATATAAGATCTGTGTGTGCATGGCATCATTTTTATATAAATATAACATCTATGGCTCCCACTTTATCTACAAGGGCCACAAGGTGAGGGAGCAAAGGCAGCCATATGCTGAAAAACCACCCCCTGGGGAGGTTTGAATGAAAGAATTTCCCCATAGGCTCTTTACTATCAGGGTGAACTCTATGCTGGAACCAGGAGCCAAAATAATCCCTTTCTGGTCTAGAGAGATGGCTCCGCGGTTAAAGCACTCCCTGCTCTTCCAGAGGACACTGGTTCCATCCCCAGCACCTACATCGCAGCTCACAATTGTCTGTAGCTCCAGTTCTGGGAGATCTGGCAGTCTCTTCCGGCTCTGCAGGCCCCAGACACGGTATATTTATATGCATGCATACATGCAAAACACACATGCATATAAGATGAAATAAACAAGTCTTTAAGAACAAACAAATTAAAAAAAAAAAAAAAGCCTTTTCCCCCCCTAAGTTGCTTATGCTTGTGGGATGTTCCCACTGAAAATTACAGAAAAGCAATTACCGAAGTTGATTTTTGCCCAGGATTTTGTTGTAGCAATGAGAAAAGCTACAAATGCACACTGGTATTTGGCATTGGGACATTTATTTCGTGTCCCCTTTGTACAGATCCCAGGGCCAGGTAGGGGGACAGGAGACCAGGACAGGGATAGCAATAAATAACATGGACAGACAGAGCACCCCTCTAGACAGGTTAAAAGGAGGGCAGAGGGGAGCTGTGACGTGGGCACGGGGTGCTGGCAGAACGGAGCGGCCGGGAGGGAAGGAGAGGCCCCCACAGCCTCACTATCTCCTGCCCTGCCCCTTCCCGCCCCCACCGCTGCCATTTCCAGGAGGAAGGGAGCCCACAGCCAGGGGGGGCCAGCGAGGGTCCCGAAGGGGCGGGGCGTGAGCCACAAGGCCAGCCCCCAGCTTCCTCCTCACTTGACCCGGATTTCTGCGTACTCAGCCAGCTCCTCCGTCAGGGTGTAGCTGTCCTTGGTGGGCTGTTTCCCCAGGTCTGAGTGGGCATAACTGAGGTCCAGTTCTGGGGGTTCCCCCCGAAGGCCCAGCAGCCTCCTCCCAGATCCCAGGCGCCTCTCGCTCTACGGAGAGAAGACAGCCCGTCAGCCGGCTCCTCTCTCACTTTTCCCACGCAAAGCCTGGGGTGCTGGCACCTTCTCCTGGGGGAGGGGGAGCACCAGCTCGGGGCCGCTCCGCAGTCACGGAGTGCCACTCGGGGTGGGGGGCTCTGCAATGCTGACATCACGAAAAACCCCTATCTTCTCGTTGCTAACCTTGACATTTGCCGAGGAATCCCAGGCTCCGAGATGCCCGCTTGGAGAAATTAACCTTAAGGGTGCACGGTTTAACCCGGAACACTCCTCTAGAGTAAATCGTGGTTGGACCGCCCCTTCTGGAACGTTAAAGCTTTCTCTCTTTATCTCCTCGGTTGAGGGGGTCCTGGTAGTGACGCCCCACTCCCCCAGCTCTCTACTCCTGTCCCCACCCCACCAGCGTTTGGACGCACGATAGGGCAGTGGCCGCAGACAGGAACAAGGGACGCGCGAGAGGACAGAATAGACAAGGCTGCTGAGCAAGGCTGGGGTTAACCGCGGAGTGCCACAGACGCCTGGCTGGGACACACACACATGCACAACAGCCCCGAGGCCCAGCGAGGGCCGGGAGGCTGCACACTGAGGCCCCCGGAACCTACCTCCTGGGGCTCTCAGTGACTTTCCCGAGTAGAGACCTCTCTGGACTATTGAAGAAGGAAACGCAGTCACAGGCACAGGCGGGGAGGGTGGGGAGGGCGGGGCTGCCCAGGCCCCACCCCCTCAACCCTCCTGCACAGTTCCAGCAAGGGGCCCCGGTCCAGCCCTCCACAACGCCCCGCCCGTGAGGCGGGCCTCCCTTCCGCCCTGGCCTCGCAGGCCCTTCCCGCCCCTCCGCCTCCCCTCAGCCACCTCGCCACTGGGTCATTCCCTCCCTCACTGGGAGCCACAGGGGTGTGGCCCTCACCTCGTACTTATCAGGGGCCCCGGAGATTCGGAATTCGGGGCTGTACAGGACGTGAGGGTTGCCTCCCGCCGAGAAGCTGGGGCTCTCCGTGACGTTTTTTCTGCAGAAACATCAGTTTCACGGGGGACAGCTTTCCCCAGGGGTCACCCTGTCCCCACACCCTACCGGCTTCCCCCCTTCCGCACTTCCAGGGTTCCCGCGCTTGCTGACAGGTTAGGGAGCTTCGAGCAGGGCCAGGAGGTTGGAGCTCGCGCAGCGTCTGCCCTCCCAGCACACACAGAACGACCCCCGCTTGCCCACCCCAGCCTCCCACAGTCTCCTACCACCCTGCGTGGAGACTGCCCGACCCCAGAGCAGCCTGGCAGGTACTCACTTTCGTCTTGTCTGGGTGATGTAGCATACAATAGCAATCAGGATGGCAAAGGCGACCACAGCCCCCACAGGCCCGATTTTGGCCCACATCAGTCGGTCTAGGGACAGAGAAGGGTCAGGAGTGGCCTCAGGGCTACCGGCAGGCATGAGGATGCCTGGGTTTTCAAGACACCCCAGGAAGCAGAGTCCAAATGTTTGGGCAGCCTCTGCTCAACAGTTACAAAGCGAGGGTTGTTGTTGTTTTGTTTTGCTTTTGTTTTCTCTCTCTCTCTTCTCTTTTTTAAGTGCTGGAATTTGAACCCATGGCCTCCCAAGTACTAAGTAAATGTTTGACCCCTGTGTCTCAGCCCCTCACTGGGGGACTCTAAGCAGGGGCTCTACCCCTGAGCCACAGCCCAGCCCCTCACTGGGGAATTCTAGGCAGGGGCTCTACCCCTGAGCCATACCCCAGCCCCTCACTGGGGGATTCTAGGCAGGGGCTCTACCCCTGAGCCACACCCCAGCCCCTCCGCCGCGCTCAGTGGCTTGATGAGCAGTAGTAGGCGTGGGGAGACTCCAAGAGGGCTCCCCTCCTTCCCGTGGCTTTCGCCCCCAGGTCACATCACTCACGTGCTCCCTGGAAGGGCAGCTCGAGGCTCTGGGTGCCATAGAGGTTCCTGGTGGTGCAGATGACCCGGGGCGGGGCCTGGGCCTGACCCCGGAGTGTGAGGATGCTGGTCAGCAGGAGGCCGCTGCGCTCTGAATACACGAACTCCCTCTCGGTTTCGTTCACCGTCACGTTGCGGGAAGGCAGCTCAAAGGCCACAGAGGGTTCCGGGTTGGATTTTACCACGCACAGGCACTGCACTGTGTCTCTGGCAGCCGCGCAGTGTGACTCCAGCAGGATTATGGGCGCAACTGCAAGAGCAAAAGCTAAGGGTGAGGTTGGGCCTGCAGGACTCCTTGGTAGGAGCAAGGCCAAACGGGTGAGCAAGCTCTGTGTAGGTCCCCGCCCAGAAACACGGGACTCCCAACTCCTCTGCAACCATGCCCACTGCGTGTTATCCCTTCAGACTGAACACAACCCCGAAGCAGCATGGGCCTTCACAGGCCCTGGTTGAAGGCGGTTAGATCACCCCAACATGGAAATACTCTAGCCAGCACTGGGTATGCGAGCATATGGAACCCCAATATTGGTGAGACAGAGGCAGGTGGATATCTGTGAGTCCAAGGCCAACCTGGTCTACTCAGAGAGTTCCGGGCCAGCCAGGGCTACATAGTCCCCGTCTCAAACAAACCCACCAGCCTAAACCAACATCCTTACACTCTTACACACCACCAGGGGCCCTCTGCTTGCTGACAGTCATGGGGAGATTCAAGAGAGAGATAAGACTTGAGTTCGAAACGGCAGGACCTCAGAAAGACCCTGGTTTCCCCCTCTGCACCTGATGAGGGCGTCACCTCTGTATACAAGGTCTAACCGATGCTTTCCATGGGCCACTGTGACAGCCAACACAGGCCACTGAACCCTTCCTTCCTTCCTGTCTGTCTGTCTTTCTCCCCACTCCACTCCACTTTGGGTTGTCAAGACAGGGTTTCTCTGTGTAGCCCTGACTGTCCTGGAACTCACTCTGTAGACCAGGCTGGCCTCGAACTCACAGAGATCCACTCCCTCTGCCTCCCAGTGCTGGGACTAAAAGCGTGTGCCACCACTGCCTGGCCCCAAGGATCCTTTTTTCTTTGGAATCTCAACCCATATTAGCCCAGGGACTAGGGATGCTCCTTGTGAGATACTCTCCTGCGTCTGCTCTTGAGGTGATCCTGGCCTCGATGTGGGAAAAAACAGCTGTGGTTTCCCATCTGCACCGTCTCTAACTTTCGCCATGGCCTCTGATCATGGCTAGGATGTTTTCCAAAAGGGACCTATGCCCTTTGGCCATTTGACCCATCCAAACTACAGCCTCCTTTGGCAGATTCCTTCCCTCTCCCCAGGCCCTGACAATGGCCCCCAACTCACTTCCTCACCTGGAGACCCTTTGAATCTTTTTTTTGTTAAGATTTATTTATTTATTATGTACACAGTGTTCTGCCTGCAGGCCAGAAGAGGGCACAAAATCTCCCTATAGATGGTTATGAGCCACCATGTGGGTGCTGGGAATTGAACTCAGGACCTTTGGAGGAACAGCCCGTGCTCCTAACCTCTGAGCTGTCTCTCCAGCCCCGAGTCCTTGAATCTTGACCCATTTCTTCATTACCACCAACAGCTCCCTCCACCCAAGCCTTGCTTCCATAGCTTTGATTACACATGGAACCTTTCTTTCTTTCTTTCTTTCTTTCTTTCTTTCTTTCTTTCTTTCTTTCTTTTCAGAATAGAAGTTATATTAGAACACTGAGTGGTGCTTTCTGCTTGTTTCTGAGACATGAGTCTTGTTATGTAACTCGGAGTAGCCTGGAACTCTGTGCTTTTCTGTCTCTTAAGTACTGGGTGACACCCAGCTAAATGGTGTGTGTGAGAGAGAGAGAAAAAGAGAGAATTGTGCATATATGTGCAGTTGTGTGTGTGTGTGTATGTACATGCATGTTAATGCCAGAGAGTGACATTGAGTGTCTTTATCATGTTACAGTTATTTTTTGAGACAGTGTCTCTCTCTAATACTGGAGCTCACCAACTGGCTGGCCAGCAAGTTCCTGGACTCTTCCTGCCTCTGCTGCCCTCACACTAGGATTACAGGTGCATGCCATCAATCATAGCTTTCCTGTCTGTCTGTCTCTGTCTCTCTCTCTTCGTATTTCCAGACAGAATTTCTCTATATAGACTTGACTGTCCTGGAACTCACTTTGTAGACCAGGCTGGCCTTGAACTCACAGAGATCTCCCTGCCTCTACCTCCCCAGTGCTGGGATTACAGGCCCGATCCTTTTTTTCCCCCTCACTTTCTTTCTTTTAACATGGGTGTATGTAATTTGAACTCAGGTCCTCATACTTGTACAGGAGGCACACTGAGCCTCCTCTCCGGCCCCTAAATTATGCTTTTAAAACTATGTTCTTTATCCGCCTTAAGCTATCCGACACCTCTCTGCCAATTCTAGACTAAGTGTTGGTACTGAGTAAATTCTGATCCAAATCCACGCACACAGACATCAGCTTCCTGGCTCCACTCATTCTCAAGCCCAGAGAAATGTTCCAGTAACAGTGACGGACAGAAGTTCCCAGGGGCAGATAGATCATTCCAGCTGGCACCTCAGTGCACAGCTCTAAGCCTGTAAGGTGACAGGCCCCCGTGTACATTCTGCTCTCCATGGTGGGGAGTGATCAGCTCAGCCCAGGGGAAGTGAGTAACGCCAAATCTGAAGAAAAAGAGAACCCCAGAACATTTCTGAAACAACCCCATTCAGGACATCACAGCCAACAGTGGATGCTGGTGACAAGCGTCCACAGCGGACGCCAGAGTGCTGGTACCCTGCCTGTGTGTGTCATCAGTATTCTTTCAGCATCCTACAGGTTTCAGAAGAACTATACAGCCCTTTGACATGATTCAAAGAATGGGGAGTTTAGGGGTGCCTGGATTTGGCATCCCAACTCTGCCATCTACTGGCTGAGTGTGGCCAGTGAGCCTTCGAATGGGCACACAGAGGTGGAGAGGGCACTTGCGGTTTGGGTTTGGTTTTCAGTCAGAGTCCTGGGTATCCTCAACACTGTAGAGGATACAGTGGGAAGGGAGGCAGCCCCTTAGTGAGGGACTGTCTAGGTTAGGCTGGCTTGTGCCATGGCTGTGGTAGATTGACTGTTCTTAATTAAGCGAGGAGAAAAGACTCACCCTGAATTCGAACGGCACTGGTTCATGGTGTGTGCCCCCCCCCCCATGCTGATGAAAAGGAGAGACAGGGGGGCGGGAGCTTGACATTAACTCATCGCTCTCTGTGCTTGACTGTGGCTGTGATGTGACCAACTCCTTAAAGTTCCTGTCAACGTCACATCCCCACCATGACGGGCTACAGCCTGGGAACATGAGCTAAATGAACGTGTCTCCCCTAAGTCGCTTTCACAGGAGTTTGAACAACATATCTCCAACACCAAAGACAACTAAGACACCCATGCTGGTCTTGGGCTCCCTAGGGAACCAACGGTAGCTTCTGATTCTTCTTCCTGCTCTGCCTGACTGCTGGAATTTATGGGAGGGAGGCGCTACCACTCTGGGCTTACAGAGAACCTTGCGGATGGAACCCGGGGCTCCATACAAGCTGGGTAAGCACTCTACCAACTGTGCTACCTTCTAGTCCTGGAGAAGGGGAAGGTGCTGTTAGCTCACAAGAGGCTATACAGACATGTGAATGTGTATGTATGAAACGCTTAGCATCCCAGCCAAGTACTTATGTCTGCATTACAGAGGAAGAAGAAGAAGAAGAAGCTTTGGCCAACCCACTTGAGTCCCAAAGAAATACCAATGGGACAAGGCGATGGTTAAGAATACTCAGTGTGCGGCTCAGTGGTAGAGCCCCTGCCTAGAATTCCCCAGTGAGGGGCTGGGAGTGTGGCTCATTGGTAGAGCCCTTGCCTAGAATTCCCCAGTGAGGGGCTGGGGTGTGGCTCAGTGGTAGAGCCCCTGCCTAGAATCCCCCAGTGAGAGGCTGGGGTGTGGCTCAGTGGTAGAGCCCCTGCCTAGAATCCCCCAGTGAGGGGCTGGGGTGTGGCTCAGTGGTAGGGGACCTCCATGACGTCCATAAAGCCCTGGGTTCCATCCTTAGCACTGTAAAGGTGCAGTGTAGAGGTCAGTGCTAAAGGCCAGGCCAAGCTGAGGAGGAAGCCCGGGGAACTGGAAACAAGGAGATGGCAATCTTTATTTGGAAATTCTTGGAAAGCTTAGGGAAGAGGAGTGAAAACTGGGACTTGACTGCTAGTGAACCCAGAAGCAGGGTTGGGTGCGGTGGAGGGAGCTGCCCACAAAGAGGTCAGGCCAAGGGCTTGTTAGCAGTATCATAACTACCTTCGCTTCCAAGATGTCAGCTTATACATGTGTCCTTCCTCCGACTGTGCTGTGTCTGCTAATAAGCTTGGCATCTCCTTGGTCCCAGCCCCCACCTCTCAAGAGCACAGCACAACAGCTCAGTGTATGAGCTCAGGGAAGTCAACTCTAGGCAGTGCAGAGTAGGGCCAGATTGCCTGGGATTGATTCTCAAAATCTGCTACTAGTGTGTGACCTCGGGCAAGCGTCCTAATCTCTCTGTGCCTCAGTTTCCTTCTCTGTAAAGAGGGCATTTGTTGTCACGAAGATGAAATGATTCCCTGCATATAGCACATCCAACAACGCTGGTACCTGGCAATGCTCTCCAAGGCACAAATACCAGAGTCAGCATCTTAGTCCCGTAGAGGGCCAGCAACCACAGAATCCCGAATCCCCTTGGTCGAAAGCTCCTCCCACTCCCAGTGATCTCAAAGAGGAGTTTCATTTCCTTAGGGTGGACTCAGGTTCCCTGCTGTCCCCCATCCTTATCCGGTGTCAGGGACGGGCAAAGCTGGCCCTGGGGACTCATGAGCACCACAGGGTGACAGCGGAAGGGGGGCACTCACACTCCACAGACAGGTTGAAGGCGGTGGCTCTCTGGCCGTACTGGTTCTCCGCCACACACCAGTACTCCCCGTCATCCTCCGGTGTCACTGCAGGGAGCTCCAGCTGCAGCTGGCTCTCGTAGATGACGGTGGCCAGGATCTGCTTCTCCTTGAAGATGGTGAGGATGGGGTCCGGGTTGCTCTGTGTGGAGCAGAGGATGGACACCGTCTCCCCCTCCACGGCCACCACCGTCCCGTTCACTGTGGGCTTCCAAGGTGCGTCTGGGGGAGGAAGAAATTATCAGACTCCGAGGGAACTGCTCCATCTGCCGGCCAACTCCCAACCGTGACCCCGACACCCCATCTGACACCCCATCCGGTCCTGGCTCCTGTTACAGGAATTGTTATTCTCTAGGCAGAGAGCCTGACCTTTTTTTTTTTTTTTTTAAATACCGTTTGTTTATTTGTTCATTTGCTCTCAAGACAGGCTCTTGCCATGTAGCCCTCGCTGGTCTATTATTTCACTATATAGTCCAGACTGGCCTTGAACGTGTGGTAATCCTCCTGCCTTAGCCTCCTGAATGTTGGAATCACGTGTGTGGTCTGGGAGCTTGTCTTTGGATGCTGGCGCTGCCTACCCCTCCCCAGCTCCACAGACCCTGTGTCTTAACGCCGGGACTCACTTTCCCATTTTTTTTTTTTTTTTTTTTTTTTGAAAATGGGCTTAACAATTCCAGCCTCATAGGGCATCCAACACGGGACAAGACCCAGGAACTGCTCTAGCTGAGCGAGGCCCTTACGGAAAGATGCTATGTAAGGAAATAAAATACATTTTCAGCCAGGGGATTTGTTGCGATGAAAAAAAAAGGAAAAGTCAAAAGGGAGGAGGAATCAGGTGGTCAGGTGGCCCGGGTTCTAAGGAGGATGGTGAGGGAAGGCTTCGGGATCGGAGCAGGAGGCGTAGGGGATGCCAGGGCCACGAGCTCGTGTGTGAGGCCGTCAGGAAGTGCTGAGTGAGCACCGGCTGTGACTGTCTTTATTATCCGCTGTCCTCGAGACATATTTGCGAATGAATGAATGAATGAATGAATGAATGAATGAATGAATGGCATGAATGGCCTGTGCTTGATTCTCAGCTCAGTGTCCCAGTCTGACTGCATCCGTCTCCTGTTACAACCAGGTCCACGCAATGGGTTCTCCTCAGCCCTCTCTTTGCTTGCTGTCGAGCCTAACGACCTGAGCTGAGGCCCCGGGGCCCAGGTGGCAGAAGGCCAGGTCTGAACCCCACAAGCTGCCCTGTGACCTCCACACAGCGTCCTGGCATATACAAACCACACACACACACACACACACACACACACACACACACACACACGTAAAACCCTTGAGCTACAACTGTCCTTATTTTAAAAATACAAGTCAGTCCCCAAGTCTGCGTGGACGCGCCGCGTGGGGACTCACACATGACGCTCAGCTCCACCGTGCGGTTGTCCTGGCCGTAGACGTTCTCTGCCAGGCAAGCGTAGACGCCGTCCTCCGCGGGGGTCACCTCCTCCAGGTCCAGGTACAGGCTCTCGGCCACGGCCTCTCGCAACACCATCCCGTCCCGCATCCAGGTCAGCAGCGGAGGCGGGTTGCTGTCAGCCCCACAGAGCAGGCTGACGTGGGAGCCCTCAATGGCCTCCACGGAGGAATTCATCTCCACAATCACTGGGGGGTCTGAGGCCCAGGACAAGGCGGAGGGTCAGCGGACTGTGTGATGCGTGCATCAGATCCAGGCCGGCTCAGGAAGCCCAGGCCCCACCCCCAGGTCCCTTCTCCGGGTCCTACTCCTCCAGGACCTAACCCAACCCAACCCCTGCCCCTCTTCCTCCCAGCATGCTCACCCAGGCCCCCTCCCCAAACCCTACCCTCCAGGTACCACCCACCAGACAGGCCCCAGCCCAATACACCGCCCACCAACAAGGCTCCGCCCCCCAGTCCCTTCCCACACGAGCCCCGCCCACAGCCTCCCTACCCTGCCCCGTCTCTTCCAGGCCCCGCCCTGCCCCAACCCGCACCCAGGCTCACACTTGACGTCCAGACTGGCGTAACCCTCGAACTGCAAGGTGGTGTTGGGGAAGGCGGCCTGGCAGCCCAGACGGTGGCCGTTGGCCTCTCTGGTGGGCACGAAGTGAAGCAGCGACACTTGCACCCAGGTGCCTTCATCCTCACGCAGCCGACCCAGCACCGTGGGCTCCCCCAGCCCCTCGTAGCCCAGCCAGCTCAGCTCCGGGCGCAGCTCCGGGCAGTTGTCCGGCACCATGCAACTGACCTCCACTTCCCTTCCCGCCACCACTTCCGGGGGCAGCACGATGTTGGGGGTGTCTGCGGATGAGGGAGGGAAAAGGGAGAGGTCTGGAAACAGTCTGCGGTCACACCTCCCTGTGCAGCAGGCTCCACTCGTGGGACCTTACCCACCCTTTCCTGGTGTTGGCCACGCCTCCGCCCCCCCCCCCCCCCCCCCCCCCCCCCCCCCCCCCCCAAAGCCCTCCACAGAGCCTGTCAGGATGCTAGAACAAAGTGACAACAGTGCTGGACTTTGCAAACAGACCCTGGGGCCGCTAAAACTGGCCTCCAGACCTCGGCCCCTGCTTCTGTGGCAGGTGTGAGCTCTGTTTCGCTAGATTGCACCCTGGTCCCTGTATATGCTCTCTTCTTGGGGAGCCGCTGGGTTGGGGAGAAGGGACGGTTGGCAGGGTGAGGTGTGTATGTGTGAGTATGTGCTATTGCCCTGTTTGGTTGTGTGACAACTTGAGTCATCGGGGAGGAGGACCCTGGATGGAGAAAACGCCTGTGTCACAGCAGCCTGCCGGTAAGTCTGTGGAGTACTGTCTTGATTGGTGGTTGATATAGGAGGATTTAGCCGCCGTGGGCGGTACCCTCTTTGGGCAAGTGGCCCTGGAAGGTATAGGAAAAGTCTCGGAATGTGAGCAAGCCAGCGAGTAGCATCGCTCTGTGCTCTCAGCTTCGGACGCAGGCTCCAGGTTCAGGCCTTGAGTCGCTGCTGCGGCTTCCCTCACGATGGACGGTGACCTGGGTGCTAACTGACGCTCTGTCCTCCCAGGCGGCTTTTGGCCACTGTGTTTCCCACAGTAAGACATGGCAGACTAAGACAGGTATATCACAGGGTGGGGGACTGCGTGTGTGGTTTGCGTGTGTGGTACATGCATAGTCTGGTGTGCGTCACGTGTGGAATGTGACGTGGCCTCTTTTGACATCAGGGCTGTAGTCTGGCTACTCCTACAGACCAAATGCTGCCGGGGGACTTGGCCTAAGATCGCTTACCCTACGACCTAATTAGGATGCCGCTCAGAATTAGGCAGCGGGAGTCCCTGAAGCCAGGCAGGGGCCTCTATTTTAATTGCTAAACTTGGCTATAGCTACATGCAATTTTTTTTCCCTTTTCTTCTCCTCTTTCTCTTCTCCCTTCCTCCCCCAGTTGTGAGGATCAACCCTTGGTCCTCACACATGGAGCCGACACTGCCACCGAGCCTCATCCCCATTCCTCTTTTCCCCTTTTATTCTGAGGGTCCCGCTAAGCTGTTAAAGCCGGCCTTGAACTCACTCCGTGTCCCAGATAGGCTGTGGGCGTCTTGCTTCAACCTCCCAAGTAGCTGGGAATAAGGCCTAAACCATCAGGCCTAGCTCTCTCTCTTCTTTCTTTCTGTCCTTTTGTCTTTCTTTCTTCCTGTCTGTCTTTCTTTGTGTTGTTTTTTTTTACATTTGTTTGTTTGTGTGTGTGTGTGTGTGTGTGCCCGCGCGCGCACGCGCACGTGTGTATGTATGTATGTCAACCATGTGAGTTCCGGCTATCGAATCTGGATTGTCAGACTTGGGGCACACACAATTATCCACAGAGCCATTTTGTAGCTCCCCCCCCCCATCCTTCCCAGCCCCATGTCTCCCTGCCGTGTTAGGACCAAAACCGAGCAAGGCAGGTGCAAGGATTCGGCCATTATTCCGGTGCCGGTTTCCATGGCAAACAGTGTGCCTGAAACCAAGGGTCCTGCATCCACCAGCCAGAGCTTAGAGCTGGTACTGTGGACAACCCCGGCCTTAAAACCATTCACCCGCTGGCTGGGTGTGCGGTTCTCAGCTCCACATCACCAAGGGCCAGAGAACGTACTCACGGCGCCCAAAGTCACACCATAAAGCGGACCTCTAGAAGCCTCACCCCTGACCCCAGGTCCCCTCCCCTCCCTCCCAGCATCGCTTGCAGCCCCTTGGAGCCCACCCAGCCCTCGGGGACCAACTCACTGATGATATCCAGGACGCTGTGCTCTGAGAATGTGTACTGGTTGTAGCCGCCCAGGTCCCCTCGGAAATAGTATTTGCCTCCCAGTTCGGGGCTCAGCGTGCTGAGAAGCAAGGTGCAGTTGCGGAGGCCCAGGTCCCCCAGCAGGCGGCTGCGGCCCTGGAAGCTCTCGTGGACCACTTGTGTGCGGGACTTGAAGACCACGGGTGGGTAGTTCTTGGGGTAGGGACTGTTGAAATACCAGACGCCGTGCACCACAGCCGGTCTGAGCTCATCGGGGAAGTCGAAACGGCAGGGGATAGAGACGCATGTCCCCTCGAAGGCTGAGATGGACGAGGGCATCCAGGCACCCCAGTGGCCTCCTCGAGAAGCTATGGGTGGGCAGGAGCACAGAAGCTGAGAGACAGAGCCCGCCCCATTATCTCTAGCAGGTCCCATCTCGGGCCAGCGGGCTGGGATTGGGGCTGGAACTCATCTCCGCAGCCATTACCTGAGATCATTATCCAAAACAGAGGCAGCGTGGTGAGGAATATCATCTTGTGCAGCAAGTGAGTGAGCTACGGCTGGAGAGGGACAAGAACCAGTTTTGAAAAGGCCGCAGCGGGGTCGGGGGAGAGGGCACTGTGCCAAGGTCAGCCAATGCTGTCAGTTATGAACGCCAGGCCCCAGGGGCTCACTCTGCTAGTCAGAGCTGGGTGCCGCAAGCCAGGCGCGGCTCCCAGGCTTGAAACCAGTCCTCCGGGGAAGTCAAGCAAGCTTCCCAAAGTCACCCAGCTCAAGCACAGGGCACAGACACCTCATCACCGAAGCCAGAGACTTTGGCCGCGGCTGTCTCTGGAATGATAGGAGCAACTGTTCTGCCGTCGGCAGCCAGATCCTTTGGCACTCTGTTGGTCTCGTGTCTGTCGTTCTCGCAGCCTAAGTGGGCCCTGGGGTTACCACTCTGTAGGTGTGATTACCGCTTGCGCCTAAAGTCCAGAGGCTTGCCTAAGGTTACACGGCGGCTCTGCAGACGTAGCGGCCAAGCTGCGAAGTCTCTGCATGGCAGAGGCTGGTTAGTAATGATCTGACCACGTCCTGCATCTCCGCCCCTCAGAGACGGCTAGGCAAAGTTGGAGCCAACGCTCCTCCTGCGGTAAGAAGTGGGTTATCAGGATGAAGAGAACACTGGTGTCTTACCTTTTACCTCGGTCTCCCTGAGTTGGAACTCTCTCCTGACTCCACTTGAAGATGGCCAGTCAACCTAGAACACAAGCCAGACAGGAGTTGCGCGGTGAAGGCCCGAGCACCCACAACACACAATCCGTGTGCAGTATGGGCGGCGTCCATGTTGGAAGACTATCCATGAGCTCTCTGGTCCCCATGGATACCCAGGATGCTCCCACGTAGCTTCAAAGATACTGTACCACAACAACCTCCCTGCCCCCTCCCGCCAAGAGCTGGGGTGTGGGAGAACCGTGGGGAGGGAAGGGAGTGGTGGCTTTGGGATGAGGGGAGCAGCGAGTGGTGAGTGGGGCGAAGGAGCAGATGAGGCCTGGAGGTGGCAGGCAGGGACCCGGTCCCATCAATGACCGGGTTTCACAACATCAGCATTCCCAGCATGCCGTGTGAATTCCTGCCGCCCTCTCCCACCCGCAGCAGGCCCCGGGTGTCCCCACCCTCACCAGAGGCCAGGAGCCAATACAAAAGAGCCCTGTTCTCCCCCGGGGGTGTGGGTGTCCCATCCCAGGGACCTCCTGGGGTAGGTGGAGTGTGAGTGAGAACTTGGCCACTCCTGACTTGGGCCCTGCGAGGGGCCGGGAAGAGCCAGAGGAGATGGCCCCTTGGGCCCCCGCTGCTGCTCTGTGGGTCGCCCGGGACCGCAGCCAGGATTTTGAAGTAGCTGCTTTTCCCGGCCTTGGCTGCCCTCTTCCCACAGATGCAGCCGCAAGCCCAGAAACATGCGAACGCTAGTAGGGAATGTGACAGCCAGCAAGAACAGACTCACGCCACGGAGACGGGGAGAGTCGCGAGGATGCACCCCTACGCTGAGGGCCCGTCTACAGAGAGGCACACGGCACTCGCCACGCAGAGTGCCCTCACGGCCCTCAGGCGTGGACACGCACACCTGGGCAGTCGTGACTCTGACCGTCACGATCTCAAGTCACAAGGACCTGTGCACGCCACGGAGAGCCCCACCCAGACAGCTCTGTGGGCACAGGGCAGCGGTAGCCCTGGCACCTGTGACTGGAGGGAACGGGACTACCCAGAGGTGAGGCCAACAATTCAGCACACACGGATGGGAGATACAGCCACGGACACTGTTCTCTGCCGAGGTGAATTCTGGTCTGGGGGTGTGGGCCCAAGCTGAAAGCTCTCTAATCACAGTGCTAATGTTTGCAAAATGAATAGATCCCACATCTGTAGCATTAAGCTTCCGTTGGGGAAGCCAGGCATGATGACAGCACACCTGCCACCCAAGATCTTGGGAAGGGAGGCTGGAGGATCTAGAGTTCAAAACCAGCCTTGGCTACAATCAGCAAGCTGGAGGTTAGCCTGGGCTGTAGTGGCACTATTTCAACAAACAGAAACAAATCCGAGGGAGGGGAGGGGTTGGGAGAAAGCACCCTCCAAAGTCTAATGAAAAAGAGTTGAGGACCACTGATACAGACGGCTACAGGGGCAGGCAGACACACGGACACACCCACAGTCTCACCCGCACCGTGCACCCAGGTGCTCACGGCCTGCCGGCCTCACCCACATCCGCATGGTGGATTCAAGTGTCCGACAGCCCCTCGGCACCCTCCTTCTTTTCCAGTGCAGAACACCATCCCGTCTCCCCCAGTTTTGGGAACCCCAGGGGAGCTGGCATTGCCAAAGCCGCCACCATCGTGAGGTGTGTCCATGAGGGAAGTCCCCTTGTCGTTTCTTCTCAAAGCCCCACCGCTGTCTCCACCAAGGTCTGGTCCAAAGCAACGCCCTGCCTGCCCTGTTCGAAGGGAGGGACCCTCCCCTGCTTCTCGGCACCCCCGCCTTGCACACGCCCTGGCTCCCAGGGCAGCAGAACCCCTGGCGGTGTCTTGCCCCTCCTTCGCTGCAGCCCTCTCTGCCTCAGTACTTACTTGGATGCTCTGGCTTCCTCACCCTCTGCTCCCTTGGCCCCGGCTTACAGTCCTTTGGCCTCCCAGGGTCTAGGCCCCCACTTGCCAGCCCCTCCTCTCCCCCTGGGTGCCAGGGGCCGCCTGCCTCCAGGGCCCAGCTCCTCCCTGCCCCCGGGGGAGAGGGGCACAAAGGGGCCCTTGTCACCACAAGACTGGGACTGGGCAGCCTGACTCCTGGGTCCTACTAGCTCCTTCCTAGAGAAGCCGGGGGTCTGCCTGGCTCCTCCCCTTCCTCCGCTAATAGACACCCTACTTCGGGGGAGGTAGGTGTGGCCTCATCTTTCTGCAAGTTCCAGGCTGAAAGGTGAAACCTGTTGAGGATCTGGTGGCACCTGTGTGACCTTGGCCCCAAGAGGCCAGAAGAGTCTGGTTGCCAGGAGGAAACACAGCCTCTCCTCCTTTGGCTCCAGTGTCACCCCCGCCACATTGACAGTCACCTCCGCATGCTTCCTCTCCTTGACACTCTGAGATGACCTCAGCCGTTGTCTCCTTGAGATCACGGCCTTCCCTTGGCGAGGACAAGGTGTGTGTTCCCTCTCCACCTGTTAAACCGAGGGGAGGTGCTTAGGATATCCCTCTAACGCCCCGTGGCACCGTGGGACTGAGATGTTATTCTTACCCCTCGTTCCTGGAAAGCCATTCCTGCCTGACCCCGTCCTGCACCCCAGAAGCACGGCACTTGACTCTGGAGCAGTGGCTCCCCCTCTTAACCATCACACTTACTGATTTACTTATTTCAGATTTATTCATGCTACGTGTATGGACGTTCTGCCTGCATGTTTGTCTGTGAAACACTTGTGTGCCTGGTGCTCATAGAGGTCAGATGAGGGCACCAGATCCCCCTGGATCTGGAGTTGCAGAGCCACCATGAGGGTCCTGTTACCTGAACCCAGGTCTTCTTGAAGGACAACAAATGCTCTTACTGAGCCAGCTCTCCAGCTCCTATTCTATCCATCTATCTATCTATCTATCTATCTATCTATCTATCTATCTATCTATCATCTATCTATTTATCTATCTATCATCTTTATCTATCATCTATCTATCTATCTATTATCTATCATCTATCTATCATCTATCATCTATCTATCTATCTATCTATCTATCTATCTATCATCTATCTATCTATCTATCTATCTATCTATCTATCTATCATCTATCTATCTATCATCTATCTATCTATCTATCTATCATCTATCTATCTATCTATCTATCATCTATCTATCTATCATCTATCTATCTATCATCTATCTATCTATCTATCTATCATCTATCTATTTATCTACTGCATATGTGTGGGTTTGTTGCTGCTCGTGGAGTTCAGAGGAATCACTTCTCTCCTTTCATCTTGTAGGTCCCAAGGATCCAACTCAGGTCCTCAGCTTGGCATCAAGTACCATCACCCACTGAACAATCTTGCTGGCCCATTTCTCCCTCCCTTTCCCCCTCCCTCCCTCTCTCTCTCTTTCTATTTTGTTTGTTTGTTTTTTAAGACAGGGTTTCTCTGTGTAGCCTTGGCTGTCCCGATCTCCCTTCATAGACCAGGCTGGCCTGGAACTCACAGAGATCCACCTGCCTCTGCCTCCCGAGTGCTGGGATTTAAGACATGCACCACCACTGCCCCCCCACACCTTTTAATCTGTTCTTTGAGGTTGCCTCAATATAGAGTGTGGGCTGACCTCCAGCTCACTATGTAGCCCAGGCTAGCCTTGACTACAACATGGCTAAGTCTCCAGGGTGAGCTGTGTGCCATCTCGGCTGCCTCCTGCCCCTCCACTTAAAAACTGTCCTTTCTTTTATAGAAGTCAACATGGCTGGGCGCTGTGGCACACACCTTTGATCCCAGCACTCAGGGAGCACTCAGGCAGGTTGCTGTGAGTTCGAGGTCAGTCTGCTCTACAAAGGAGTCCGAAAACCCTGTCTTGGGGTTGGGGGTTAACTCAACGTGACTGAAGCTGGCCACCTGGCCCTGGGGGGTTCTGTCTGCTCCCTGCCTTCTCACCTTGCTTGACGCTCTGAGAGAGCAGGCTTCCCCTAGAAGCCTGCCTTATGTATTTATTTGGCATCTTTAAAACAAGGCTTTTGCGCACACAGGGCCATGCTGGCTCTCTGAGCAGGGTGAAGGCCCTCTGGGTGTGGAGTCCACGATGGTCCTGAGTCAGGCATGAGCTGTGCAAGGTGGGCAGGGTGCTGGAGGTGGCGCGACTCAGGAGCAGTTTCACTGTCCTGCCAAGGCCAGAGTGGGGGGCAGGGGGAGGAGTCCTTTCTTCCAGGAGTGAGGGCAGGGAAATCCCATAGACCCGGGAGCCCATCGGGAGTCAGGAGGACTGGGGCTCGGGGTGGGGGGACGACACTCCCACCTCAGGCTTCATGACGTCAGACTCTGCCCGTGCCTTTCCCAGTCTGAGACAATGGTCCATTGAGAGCGGGGTGGGGCTCCAAAGCCTGGGTTCCGGAGAGGAGAGAGACCCGGTGCCTGGATGCTGAGGGTGGATAGGAGGTTCTGAGGTGCCCTGTGCCACAGGTGTCCGACCACACAGGTGTCCCAGAGTTGGGATCCGGTGCAGAGCGGGTAATGCGCCTGGGGCAGGTGAGTCCCAGGGGGGGTCTGTTGCTGAGCCAGGGCCTTGGGAGGGGCCGCAGCTAAGAGCGGATCAGATGGAATGAGACCCGAGGGGAGCTGGTAAGGGGGCAGCTACCTGTCCCATAGGTCAGCTGATGCCTTCAAGAAAGCAGGTATTTAGCCGGCGGGTGGCGGTGGCCCACGCCTGCCATCCCAGCACTCTGGAAGGCAGAGGCAGGTGGATCTCTGTGAGTCTGAGGCCAGCCTGGTCTACAAAGTGACTCCAGGGTAACCAAGGCTACACAGAGAAACCCTCTCTTGAAAACAAACAACAAACAAACAAAAACAATACAAAACAACAACAAAAAAGAAGGTGTCAGGGGCTGGGGCTGAGGCCAAATTTCCTAATCAGGAGGTATTACATCACATCCTTTCAGGCTTCAACTTCAATTTCAGAATCAAGCTGGGAGCAGGGTTACTTCCTTCTGAGCTTTGAGGACGAGGAGCTGTTGCAGCCCCTCCCCCAACCCCTCTCAGCCCTGGACTTGGAGGTTTTTATATTTGCACAGCGGGTCTGTCTGGATTTATCTTTGTCCGGATCTCCCCCTTTTGCCAAGACATCAGCCATATTGGATTAGGCCCCGCCATAATGAGTTCATCATAACCGCCACCCGCAGGATCTACCACCAAAGCCAGGTGTGGCTGCACACAGCTGTAATCCCAGCACTTGGGAGATGGAGGCAGGAGAATCAGATCAAGGTCATCCTTAGGTACATTAGACCCTGTCTTACTCCCCCAGCCCCTCAGAGAAGATCCCCATCTCCAACCAAGGTCACATTCTGAGAGGCCGGGGTTTAAGACGCCAGTGTATAAACGGGAGTGAACACGGACGTTTTGTGTAGTCTAATGATTTTTGCTCGTGAACCCAGTTTTATCCAAAACAGCATGCGAACAAGAGAAAGTGTCCAGACAACATGGTGCTGACAGTCACTTCATCCCTCGGTACTGTCCTGGGCCAGGGCCTGGGGCTGGGCCAGCCCAGACTCCCCTTGTCCTTGGTCAGGACTGGCTGGTTCATGTCAAGGGTCATCGCAGGGTGGCCCTCGGGTCAGCAGCAGCAGCAGCAGCGCTTTGTCCCAGAGCAAGTTCAGGGTCTGGGATCACAGTTCAGTTGGTAGAGCGCTTGCCCGGCACGCCGCAGACCCAGTGTTCGAGCCCCAGCACCACAGACGCTGGGTCTAACACCACACGGCTGTAATTCCAGGGCCAGACGGGAGGGAGGCTCAGAAGTCCAAGACATCCTCTCCTAAGTAGTCCAGCCTTGGCCACCAGAGACCCTGTCTCAAAAGGGAAAGCAAGGGATGGAGGTGTGTGTGTGAGTGTGTGTGAGTGTGTGAGTGTGTGAGTGTGTGAGTGTGTGTGAGTGTGAGTGTGAGTGTGTGTGTGTGTGTGTGAGTGTGTGTGTGGGTGTGTGAGTGAGTGTATGTGTGAGTGTATGTGTGTGTGAGTGTGTGTGTGTGTGTGAGTGGGTGTGTGTGGGTGTGTGAGTG